GGCTAACAGTTATTTGTATTTATTTTTTGCTGATTGATGAAAACGGAGTGGCGTATTGGCTTGCCTTTGTCTATGTCTACGACCGCCGCCCGGTCAGCGTCATTTGTTACGCTCAAATCAGTTTACTATTTTGTTGTTTATATTTCTTTACAGTCATTATTGTTATGATTTGTTATTGTTACTGTTGTTGTTATTTTCTTGATAACCTTAGACAGTCGTTGCCGTCCGTCTGTTCACCAGTTCTTGTTACTCTCTCACATGTGTCTCTCTCGCTAGGTGACAATAATTCAGCTGACAGTTGGTTTATAAAATTTTCAAATACTGCAGCACATTTGTTGTGAATCAAAGTTGATTTAGCTATACGTATACATCTAAGACATATACACATTTATATTTATGCATGCGCGTATCTCTACCATACATTCGCAGTTTTAAAAGTAAAATAAATATAAACAACGATTCTCTGCTGTTATTCCTGTTAGTCTTATTGCTTTTGCGTCGTCATCTGAGTCATTCACTTGTTGCAGAATTACTTTTTTTCTTTGCAGATAATAATTATACATACACAAAAATATATGTATTCAATATATGCATATACTCTTTATATATATACAGATGTTCTGTGTTTGCTTTTTGGGCGTGCAAAATTTGTGCAATGCTCATCTCGAAATTTGATAATGAGCGTCCAGAATGTCACTGACTGGAAACACAAACGAAATATTGTTAACAAATTGGATTAACAACATTCCGCGCCGGTTTGGCACATGTCGACCTAAACATATTGCAAAATATGTAACGGCATATTGCATTTCACAGTATGCACAAATTATCGATAAATCAACAGTGCACGCTGCGCTTATAGATTTATGTATATATTTATATCTATGTATATGTAGCTATGTATATGTATTCACATATGTGCGAGTGTATGTGAGTATACACAACAGGTGCCTGGCAACTGTGCAAAGGACAAACTTGAAGGTCTTGCGACGGCGTTGCCATAACAGCAAAAGGAAATCGTGAAAAAAAACTCCCAACTCCCGTGCCGTTGACGACTGAAAGCATGTACAGAGATGTTGCGATGCGATAACCGTAAGACAACTAACCAACTGGGCCAAGCAATTACATACATACGCATCTACACACACACATAAAAACTATATATGTATGCATGCACATAAAGTAAATGGCAAAAGTCCTTCGTGTTGATATCGCACTTGTGGGCACACAACTATATTAGATAAATACATTTCAACATACATATACGTTTATGTATATATGGACAAGGGAGGCTCGTGGGCGTGGATGCCATTAACCATACCAATTTTATGTAATGCCAGCGAACGCCTGTCAACGACGCCATTTGCTGCTGACCGTTATCAAGGCACCAATACCAGTAGCAGCATTAAGCAGCAGCAGTCGCAGCCGCAGTCAAAGCAGCAACAACAAACAGCTGCTTGCTTATAGCTGTAATAGTCAGCTGAGCTTGATGCCACCCCAATATTTACGTTAGAGAGGAGCGAACTTTGGGCGAAACGGCACACAATTCTTCTTAGTAACATTTATTCTGAATTTATATAATAATATATTTTGTTGTTAATTGAAATGTATTTATTTTCGTAAATGATGTTTCAGGCTTATAAATTTTCTCTCAAATGTTAGCTCATCCCCTTATCGCTTATGTACAATGGTTCTATTATTTGATTTGGTACTATTATCATCTTCTTTTTAAATTTATTATCTTGATTTCTATGATTAATGTTAGCGTGAAGTCGTGACAACTAATTCAAGCTCGCTTTGGCTATTGCCAGTTCGTGACACGATGCGCACTCAAATTTCGACATAAGTTATGCAGACATAATTATTTACAAATATAAATGAAGTACAAATAAATGGGCTGAAACAGCCCCTGAGTCTCGCACCACCAATATGTAAAACACCCCCTGGGCACACGTAACACACTCAACCCCTATGCTCGAATACCCATTGCAGCCAAGTGGCAACACTGAGCTTAATTTTATTGATTTTCCACCCCCTCACAAATACACGCACACACACATACATTGGCGTCACTGTTAAGTGCCTGGTCTAAAATTAGACATTTTTTGTGAAAAGCCCGGCTAGCCCAGTTATAGCATTCTTTTGTCGCTTTCCAACACTCACATCTAGCTTATCCATGCCAGCCGGCTTCGGTTCACGTAACTTGTTTACAGTAACAAATCGCTTGAATGAACCCTGAGTATTTCCCTTGAGTATTATTGCTTTCTAGCTCCCTTTATAAATATAGATTGGGTGTAATATATATTTCTATATGTATGTGTATATACCTTTTCTTATTGAAGAATAGTAGGTTCTTCGCTAAAGTGAACTTTCACTGTAGTGAAATGCACGTAATCAGACACCTGTGAATGGGCCGCAACATTGACAAGAATTGATTACCTGTGTGGGTGCAACTGGAGCACAAGTTTTGTCACCACTAGACTGATGAGATACTGGTGCCGAACAGGTGATAACACCTGCAAAAGACGCGCTAAAATCCCAAGCCCAAACCCAAGCCAAAGACAGGTCAAACACACACACACAGCCCGACACACACACACACAAGAAAAGGCGCTCACTTGCCCTTGCCGGCTTGGGTACAGATGCTGCTGCTGCTACGCTGGCGGCTCACCAACACAATCACACACACACTAACACACTTAAGGCAACACATATGTATGTATTGTTGTTGTTTAATGGATCACCGGCTTTTTGCTTGCTTCTGTTGTTTTTGCTTGCCACGCAACTGCGTTCTCGCTCACACTTGTATACTTGGCGTAACAAAACCAAGCGTACCTACATACATGCATACACCCATATATATCTGTGTGTAATTGTATAGAATGAATGCTGTACATGCCACGAATGGACATTTGCCTGTGTGTGTGTGTGAGTGCGAGCACAGGTAATTCAGCTTGGCTTGTCGCCTATTGTGAATGCGCTCGCTTGTTTCAATTGAAGGCGACGACGCGTACGCATTAAAACGTGCGTGCGTATTTAAGGCCTGGCCATATTGATTTTCCATGGCACACTTTGATATTATTGCACTGCAGCAATATATTTTGCCATCATTTCAAATGTGTGTGTTGTTTCACAGCTAAAATTGTTTTCAGGGCTGGGCAGTCGATACCGAACGAAAACAATACTTTATTCATGCACCGAAACGCAACAACGGGCGTGTATTTATATGCACACTCTCACAAGATTACCTACAATTTAATGGGCATATGCACACGCACACGCAATCACTCTCACACACACTCAAACAGTCTGACAAACCTGTATATACTATGTACATATAAATAAATTAAATAAACAAAACACAGAGTGCCGACTATGTCAGCGGCGTCGATACGATATGCCGTCCCGCTCATCACGCGACTAATTAATGTTGTTTGCCATTGTTATTTTCGCACTTTCGCACTTGTTTATTGCACTAATTATTGTTATTTTAAGTACTTGCCTATGTGGGTGCCCTCGATGTGTGATATTAAGTCGTTCAGACTTGGAAAAGTTTTAAAACAGCCATTGAATTTGCAGATGTTGATCAGAAACACGGCCATATCACTCGACGTACGACTGTGACTGCGCGTTATGTAAGTGTCACTGTTTGTTTAATGTTATATTTCTGGCATCCAAGAACTTAACAGTTTGCTAAGCTGTTACTTATTTCTGTTAAGCTTGTTCAAACGAATACTGTGGGTGATGGGTAACTATCGTGTATAATTAGTTATCGATGTTTACGATAGCTGGCAATCAAAACTATTCTCCGCCGTCGTCCCAGCCAATTTATACAATTAATCAATTAAGTCCAGCGAAAATGCAATATGCAGCGAATATCGAATTTGATTATAGCAGTTATTATCAATGAGCAAGCCAGATGAAATGAGAAACAATCCGTCGATTAGTATGTATTTGTGTTTCCTCCCTGGCCGTACGCACACACACACACTTATGCAAAAACGCTGTTATGCAATTGAGGGCTGCAATGACACATAAAAGTATATTATGATTACCTTGGCACTAAATCTACGCTTTGCGTTTTTAGATATACATTCAGCAAGCTTCCACTACTTACAGCATCCTGTTTCAATTGTGGTGGGCTTTAAATTACTCAATTTATAACATAAACCAGACGACGTGACGACACCACGACGCGTGGCTGTATGCGGACCAGGGCTGGATAACTATTCGATGAATATTCGATAAGGTCAACGAAAGGTAAATATTTTTTATTACCTTATAAACCGTCTAATGCCTTAAAATCTCAGCGAAGCATCCAACTGAGTTTGGCACTTATTAAATTTAGCATAATAAATCCATAATAATTGGTTATCATTATTTGAAATTTGCGCGCCAAAATTTTCTAATCAAAGTGCTGTTTGCTTAGATTGGATGAAACTCTGCAGGATTGTGTTCAGATTAAGATTTGTCATGTTATGTGCTAGTCAACATTTCTAAAATCGTGTTTTCAAACCAAATTTAAAAAATTTAATAATTTGTTGACGAAAATCGCGATTTCAGGGCTGGTAAGTTAAACCGGCATCAACTTCCAAGATTTTTTCCAATTCACCACAGGTCAGGACTGCAATTCATATAGATAATTGATAACATAATTAATTTCCCTATATAAAGGTAAATAGAATAATAATTTCATCTACATTAATAGAATTGCGAATGCCTAGAAATTAAAGTTAGAACTTCAAGACATATTCCCTCGAACGTTTGCCATTGCATGTCATACGTGTGTAATTGCGTGCCTGTTAACTCAGAAAACTATTTGTAATATGTATACATGTAAGACTTTAATATCCATTTAAGTAAAATATGCAGAAATCATTTTTAACTAAACATGATTTATGCCTAAAAAGCAGGCATAGGTTCTTTGGTGGTAGCACCGCTATTTTGTAAAATATACATATTGTTATCGATATGCACTCATGCGCTCGCTGACTTTCCAGATGAACTTCCAATTCACCACAGCAAAGAATTGCACGACGACTGTAGGGTAAAGTAAAAATTCGCGTTTAATACGGTTCCACTGTTGTTAAGGGTTTGTTCGAAGTGAGTTGGACGCATATCTTTCGTTGAAATTAAAAATGTGGAGCGCCCCCACCATGCCTCCTGCAGCTGCTGCTGGTTGAATAATCAGCTTCGAATGGAAATGCAAGAAAATAATTATTCAAAATACAATTGTTTTTAATAATAATTAGTGAAATAGAGTGAAGATTAAAAAAACAAGTGAAAATAACATTTTTTCAAACGTGTTCAATGTCGCCATCTTGCGGCTCACGCACACACTCATGCAAGATGTCACACGGGCGTATGAAGAGAACTGTCAGTGTTACTGTGTGAAGTCGTTGCGTCACTAGAAAAGTTCAACGATTTGAAGAAAATTAGTGTTAGTTTAAGATAATTAAGTGAAACTAGCTCGAATTTTGAGTTCCGATTGATTTGTGTTTCCGATTTAATTGAGAATTCTTCTAATTTGTGTGGATAGATACATTTTTTCCCATTACGTAACCAACAGCAACTTGCAGGCGGGCAGCGGCGTTTGCGGCACCGATTCGCAACAATTATATATTTACACATATATATAAATAAAAATATATATTTACAAAAAATCTACATCTATATCTTTTGCAGAGCTCCGTGCGCTTGCTTCAATTTTGTGCGAAACGCCAATTAAAATTCAACTAAAAATGTTCGTGTCGACAGTCTCTCGCATTGCTCCCGTTGCCAGGACCGCGGTAAGTAGAAAACGTGTTAACTCTTTCAGTGAGATAAATAGTTATGTGATTTTTTTGTTGCTAATTACATAATTCTTAGCCGCATCGATTTTCATTGTGCTAACAAAAAATATCTATGCTGCGACTGTGGTGACTTGGAATTCCAATGGAAAACACATACAGTTACATAAGTTGAAAGCAAAAATTGAGGTTATGTGCTCTTCATAGCTGCAACTTTTTAATCTATAAAAATGCAAAGCAATTTAAACGCATATGCGACAGACTTTTATAAAATTCGATTTATTCTGGAATAAAATTAAGCGATTGAAATGCAGTGTAAGCATTGTATAACAAGTTATAGTAACTTTGTTACTGATAATGGTTGAGGTTAGAACCGGTGAAAGCTCTCATATCTATTCCGTTGAAGCTATATAGATCAATACTCTAATTAAAAAAAATTAATTGACAACATTAAGCAGCGATAATTATTAAATTTATTTGCCGTCTTTTTCAATGACAACAACAAACTGCCAAATGGCTAAAATCCAAATTGCTTAACGCATTGCATAACTTGGCAATGGGATGCAAAATGTCAACGCGCAAAGCCTACAACAACCACAACAATAACAATTTTCTTTTTATCTCACATGAAAGATGAAACTAAACTGTCAGCTTATCTAGTTACATAATTTAACCTTTCCCTATTCTCTTATTGCAGCTCCTCGCCAACTCCAAGCAATACTTGCGACCATTGAGCAGCGCCGTCATCAGCCAGAGCCAAACTTTGGCCGCTCAGAACACAACCCCCGTAGCATTACTGCCACAGATCAGGTCATTCCAGACCTCGCCAGTCACGCGTGACATTGATTCGGCTGCCAAATTCATTGGTGCTGGTGCTGCAACAGTCGGTGTCGCTGGTTCCGGTTCGTATTGGTTTTCGTTAAGCTTTCGATTTGTCCGATCTTTATTACTGTATATGCTATGTTGAATTCTCCTAACCAACGGTCACATACTCTTCTTCAGTCAGTTACAATCTAGCATCTGGGGCACACACAACGAGTATCTGATTACTCTTATGATTGCCCCGGGAAGGTCTGAGATTTGGTCAAAGCTCCCTTGTTGCCGTAACAACGCTCAAAAGCTGAAAGGTGATTGTGTGTCGTGGAGCTTCATTTCCTAGCAGGAAACTTGTGTAATCACAAGGCGAAAGTACCAGAAATGCTGCAGCATGGCTGTTGCCGCATAACCTGCCGCCGGCCATGTTGCATTGAAAGCTTTCGTGGCCAGCAATTTTAGTGCGATGTGCTTGCTGCAAACCTCAACTCTGAGGTGCGTAGAACTCAATTCAGACTAATCTGTGACTGACTGGTCACCCTAAAGCAGATGAGTATGGACTAACTGGCAGAGGATTTCCATTGCATATGGTATATAGCTGCTCGCTGAAGAAGCGAGTTTCCATCGGCAACTGCCGATGTGGTTTCCATATAAATCTTCTTAATATCTGTACAATTTGATTAATCTATTCTGTATTTCTTTTTCTTTTTTCTGTATAAATCGCTCGCTATCTGACCAATACAACAGGTGCTGGTATCGGAACAGTATTCGGTTCCCTCATCATTGGTTATGCCAGAAACCCATCGTTGAAACAGCAGCTGTTCTCGTACGCCATTTTGGGTTTTGCCCTGTCTGAGGCTATGGGTCTGTTCTGTCTTATGATGGCCTTCCTGTTGCTGTTCGCCTTCTAAGCGCCGCTACTCGTCCTTCAATTTTCCGTGCAATTGTTTGTCGGTGTGTATGTTGATGTGGGCATTTGGGGTATTTATCTATCCCGATGGCCATCTGCATGCTAGCGACAGTCAGGGGCAACGAGAAAGCAAAGTAAAGAAGAAACAACAACTTCAACAAATAAGCAACCAACACCAACAACGTTTTTCGATTATAATTGATAAATGATTGATAGGCAACAACATCCTGTACTATCTAATTATAAAATAACAACAACAACAACATAATATATGTAATTTTGTTTTTTAAAAACATTCGAAACTGTAGTAATCGCCTAAATCAATCGCAGAACAAGATCATCGCGCAGATTCAACACATCATCGATTTAAGTTTAAGCCAAAATAGGAAGAAAAAACAACAAACTGCTAATAAAAAAGAATACATTGGAATAAACTCGGCAGAAGTGCATCGAGATAGACATAACGAAGACACGATATAAACAAAAAGTTGAGATTGAAATTGTAAACATTAAAATTAAATTTTAATCCATGCAAGCTTCAAATTCACACCGCATCAGCAGACCCCACACGCAGGTGACTACACAGAAATCGACATGATGCGCCCTCTCCATCATTCTGTGAGTTGGTTGTCCGTGTTCCTCGGCTCTCTCTCCCCTCAATAGCCTTGACAACAGCAACATCAGACTGTCGCGGCGGCAGCGGCAGCACGTGCAACCAACTCTCGTAGCCAATTGAGACCGGCTGTTGGCGAGGGCGTGGAGTGTTTGCTTTTGTGTCGTCTTCTACACTTTTTGAATTATGTGGCGCGTACTGATAACGTTTCTTTAAGTTTATTGTATTTAAAACATGTTTTTCTATTTGTTAAATTATTTCTTGAATGCCACTTAATCATTGTCACATAATCGAATAAAGTGGGGTTTGTTTTATTGGCTAGAGTAACGAGAAATATTGGTATTTGAAGGAATATGAAATAAAGGAAAACTGAATGTGTTAAGGAAAGATGATTTGTAGTTTTGATATTCTATAGATATTTAGATTTGTACAACAAATTTTAGGTAGAAAACCTCGTATGATTCCAGCCCGTTCGCATGTTTAAATTTTGCCGCTTAAAATACAGCCCTGCATTGTGGCATAAACACGCTGTTGCGGACTATCGATTACTTTGGAAATATGTAACCGATAAATTTACAATAATAAAAACCACATTGTTCATGGATTTTGGGAAGAAGATTTTGGGTAAATACGGTTGGAAAGAAGGCGATGGCTTAGGTAAAAACAATAATGGCATAGCGGCTCCATTGAAAGCGAGTCTAAAATTTGATAATGCTGGCCTGGGCGTTGATCGCGCCACAGAATTCAATGATCACTGGTGGGAGCGTTGCTTCAACGAGGCAGCATCAAATGTATCTGTTCAAGTGGAGCAGAATGGTCAGGTGAGCACAGCGCGCAAAGCTGGCCAAGAGGCTGTGGAAATTTCAACCAAGGGCTATTCGGCGCGTAAATTGAAAAAGGCCAAGGATCAGCAAAAAGATTCTTACAGTGGAGCCGTGTATGGTAATTTCCTAAAATCTGCGCTTCTTACCCAAGAGGGTGGCGAAGTGGAGAACGAGGAACGAATCAAGGTGGAGGACATTGCTGTTGCCAAAGTGCAAGTGCTGACCGATGAGCAACTATTCCAGGCATGTGGCGGTCGGACAGCTCACAAAGGCGCACGCCATGGACTCAAATTGAGCGGCAAGCTGGCGCGCATAGAGCAGCAGGAGCGCGAAATGTTGGCCAAGCTGCAGGGAAAACAAGTGCAGACAGCTGGTGAGGAAGCTGAGAAGTCGAATAAAATTAAAAAGAAGAAAAAGAAGAATAAATGTAAAGAGGTCGATGAAGAGCAGCCTGAGATGAATGCGATTGAGCTGGAGCAAGAGCCAACAAAGAAGTCTAAGAAGCGGGAGTTGGTTATTGAGTGCATAGAAAGCGAACCTGCGCCGGCTGTCAAATCAAAGAAAAAGAAAAAAAAGCATAAGCAAGCGGAGTAGTTGAAATATATATATATATAATTGATATATAGCATACACTTTTATGTACATATGAAATGTATTTAGTTATAATAAATCTAAACGAAGGCATTTATAAATCTAGTTTTGTTGTCCCTTAATCCTGATTCACTTTCTGCCCTTAGCCTTCATGCGCCTGGATTTGCCCAGCCGTTTGTTGACCGAGGCACCGGCCTTGACGCCGCGTTGACGACGTGTGGATTTCTCTGAGTCAAGACCAGCTGCCGACGACTTGGTGTTGCGTTTGAGACCCTTCTTTTTGCCACCGAATCCGAACTTTTTGTTGCGCAGCTTGCGTTTGTCTGCCGATTGCTTCTGCTTGGACTCTAAGGCTTTAGCATCTTCAAGGAAGTCCAGATTTTTAAGCTTGCCCTTGCGGAATTTCTTCAGCTTATCGAGCATCTCCTTCTTCTCAGCTTCGCGCTGCACCTTGGTCTGCTTGGCCAGCATTTTGCCCATTTTTCGTTGCTCGCGTATTTGTTTGATGCGCTCGGATTTGGCTTGTCCTTGCTGTTTGGCCATTAGATTGGCGCGTACCTTTTGCATGTGTTCGTCCGACTTGGCCATTTCGGCAAAATAGTCATCGGGACGACGCGTCTTAATACCCAGCTCGTGCAGTCGCTTTATTCCCTCCAGCACCGCACTTTGTGCCTGGCGATGGAACAACATTTCACGCTTAAAGTCATTTAGGACGGGATCCTCTTCGGGTCGAACATAAGGTATTTTGGCATTTCCCTTAAACTGATTCGCACGTTTCTGTTCGTGCTTTTCGAGCTGTACAGCCAGCTCGGGTGCCAGAGGAGCCAAATTGTTGATCATATCCAGGCGCTCCACCCATGGTAGATCCAGGCGTATGGCGTGAGCTTTGGCCAACAGTTTGGTCTGGGAGTATTGATAAATTTTAGTACAATAGTTCAAGTCCCACTAGTTTAACTTACTATATCATTTATTTTATTTCGTTGTCCGCTGAACTCAACATTAAGACCAGGTTTTAGATCTCCACGCTCGAAAGCCGCTTGCAGCTGTTGAAATTGTAAATCATAAATAATTGCAGACTTTCTTAATAGTGTTATTTACATACCTCAGCATCAGAATTGTCCTCTGAATCGAATTCTGAGCCACTGTCTTGTAATTCAAAGTCAGCCATGCTTTAAAATTATATTATATTATATTATTAAGAGAAGTTGACTAAATAAAAACAAAGCCAACACGTGCGAACCGCAAATGGTTATCGATAACAATATGTGCCGCGCGCATATATTTAAGTGTAGCAATTAGCTTTTGTCTTGTAGTTCATGGTAGCATCGATAATCCGATTCAAGGCAACCCCAAATCAAACTTGCCGCTTGAAGTGGGCTAAATAAGTCTGTTGTCTGCCAATTGCAGCCAAAAAAGCTGCAATATTCACTTTTTAAAGTATTGCTTTAATTGAATTATTTTGTAAGTGAATATAATCATTTGGAATTTTTACATGCTTTTTAACATCACGTTATGGAACACAATGTCTTAACTGAGTAACGGCATTTTCCATTCAATTTTTCAGATTCACTGTTATTAACAGTTCCGCAAAATGTTAAGATTCTAGATGCCATTTTACTTCAATTAAGGCGGCATATCAAGTATAAAGTGAACTTTTTTTTATTTATACATAATGCATGTTAATCTGGCAAATATTTACGCTGAGTTGATGCGTAAATATGGTGATAATCATACTATCACATATAGTGTGCCGCCAAGTTATTTAACTAGATTAGTTGGTGCGCGCGAATCAGCAAATAAAATTGTTTTTGTCTACAAGGAGGATCGCAGTGGCGGCATTACGACGACCACGCCCACCAAGTTGCTACTGAAACCGGAGCGTCGATCACCCAATACAGATTTGGATCTAACTGGCAGTCCGCTGAAAGACGACTGTATTGTGGATGCTATTGCCGATCTCTCGCTGGATCTGAATATAGTCAATCGGAATCCTTGGAAACCGGATGAGGAATATCATCGAGGCATGCCGGCCGATAAAGCGCGTGCGATCATCTGTACAGAATCGTTTCAACAGGCCGATGGTCAGGGCTCCGTTTGGTTTCTCTGCGATGGGAGCGACTTCGGTCACACGCTGCTACTGCAATACGAATACCATCCGACGCACTTCTCTCGCGGCATAGTCAGCTATTCGGGCGTAATGCCCGCCTATATGGTGTCATCCCAGTCTCTGGTGCGACAGCACGGACTAAGCGCAGGCGCACAACTAGAGACATACATTGAGAACAACTATCAGATTAATCCGCACATGACGATACTATGCAGCTGGTCGACGCCGGCGCCACTGCCGTTGCTCATCAATCTGAGCGGCTGCAATGTGTTATTAAATCAGGCATTTCGCGTGGGCGATTGCGGCCCTCTGACGGAGGACTTCATGAACCAGCTGCGCATCCTAGCGTACATACGCGAAGACATCGTTAGCTATCACAACGATGAGCGGGTGGGTGTGCAACGGGAACCGGTCTATCGTTGTGGCAGCGGCATTGACATGGACGAACTGCGTGAATCCATTAACAAAACAATGACTGAGGTTTCTGGCTTTACGGACGTCTTTACGGATGGCCATGCGGAGTATGATATTGAGGAGGTGGTGCAGCGCGCCAAGCTGCGCAGGCTCATGGATCTCACCGACAAACTGTGGGAGTTGCTCAAATGTAAGTGTATCTCAGGCATTTTGTATTTATTGCTTATGCTAATCATTTTATCCTTCAACAGCTTGCTCTTGCTACAAGGATTTGAAACTAGCCTTCAACATCCTCTTTCAATGCGCTGTGCGCTGCAATATTGTGGTACCTAACCTGATTACAGAATCCTTGCTATCAAACTAATTCTTTCCATATTTTCAGAACACACCAACAAATAAAAATCGTTTGGCTGAAATCATTGCAAATTTGGCCAACAGTCGCTTGGCCATGCCCTGCCTGAGCGGTACGGAGCCTTTGGAATTGTTGTTAGAAATCGGTTTGGAGAAGGTTCACAAGGATTACGAGTTCATCTTTACGGAGAGCAAAATTTGCAGTATTAGTTTGTTAAAAGGTAGCAGTGAATCGGTCACTTCCGACATAATCGATGGCTCCTCAACGAATGATCTATCCAAGTTGCGCAAATCGCTGCATAATGCCATGAGAGGTGATGCGCCGGGTGGTGGTGGTGGTGGTGGCATACGCAAGACGCTGCTGCACAACACCGCGGGCGGCAAGCAAACCGGCGCCAATTATCAGAATGGCGATTTGTCTGGCTTTAAGAATAGTAACTTTAATGAGAAGGAGAGCATGCTGCAAATATCCAAGCTGTTTCAAATACACTGCACGTTGGAGCATCTGTTGATGATACATGTGAACTTGAATTTACCCAACGGTTAGTGCACTTGCTGAGCAATCTATCCTAATGTCAATATTCATATATAATATTTATTTATTCAGTTTACGCTGATGTCTGCACTCAGCTGTTGAACAAGCAGCCGCGTCTGGTGGAGAGCATTGATGATAATTTAAGCGATGTGGCTGGCATTCAGCTATCTGCGCATTATGTGCGCGAACACTTGGATGGCAAGGATCCACACACACGCCAAATAACAATGAAGTCACAGAACAAATATAGGGAGAACACGACCACGTTTTATTTTAATTTAGAAAACATTTGTCCGCCTGAGCTGGCGAAATGCTTTCAGTCCGACGGTTAGTTGAAGCACAAACTTTTCATTTTCTTTTCTATAAATATAAGATATTTATATATGAATTTCGTATACTCTTTATTGCAGATAAGGAGCTGGTCAAGGAGCGTACCTATCATTGTTGGCTCTACCGAAAAATTCGCACGCTCAAATAGAAATTGATGTTTTGTTTTGTCTAATTATTTGTATCATTTATTGTGTATTTAATCATAAATATTTGTCGCTTAACCTTACAACCTGCTTATCGCACTGCAAGAGCCGCAGACCAAAATCATGTCGTCTGAATACTTACAAGTTTTAATCCATGCAATTGTCTTGGATCGCTCAAGGTTCTAAATCTATTTATTTCAAATGCTGATAGTAAACACAATTAGCGTGCGTTTTGCTTGGCATATTCTAAACAAAGTGCAAACACGGCGAGGAAATGAGCATATTTGCAGCCAAGCGTTAAGTAATGCTATAAATCGGCCCAAACGTGTGCCCAATGGCCAGCTCATGTGCAGCTGGCGCCACGGCAAACAGCCCCCAAAAATGTTACAATCCAATTAGTGCAATGCTCCAGTCTGTCGTCGACAAATGCTTAGCCCGATTGATTTTCAAGTCTCAGACGTGCGTGGAACGCGCTGCGGTTCGGACGTGTCGCGCTTTAAAACGGCAATTATACAAATATATTTAAGAAAAGAAAAAATAAAGAAAAACAAAAGGATTATTTGTTGGCGCACACATTCGGCTGCAAGTTCACAAGGCTTCAACAAAGTGACGCACATCCTGTGCCAAGCATAGTTATAAATAAATATATGCAAAAATAAGCAAAAGAAAGCCTTGTTCATTTATTTAATTTAACTACAGTCTAAATGCCAATTATCGCGCACCGATAATCCAATTAACAAAATGGTGTGTATTATACAAGACAGTGCATATATGGAGAAAAAAGAAAAACAATCTCTGGATTGTTAAAGAAATATTACTTCTGTTAATAAAAAAAACTAACTTAATCTAATATACCATTTTTAATAGAAATATAAAAACTATCAATTGATACCTACAAAGGACTTTCTTGGTATATGTACTTCCTGAGAAAATTTATGTAGATGTTCATGAGTTATCGTAAAAAAGAAAAAAATTTTTGTGTCGTGGTGAAGAGTACATTTTCTTAGACCTATTCTTATTCAAAAAAAGAATTATGAATTGCTTATAACAGACTGAAACTATCTAAAGCGAGTTATATATGAGAATGCGTCTCAATTACTGGGATTAAAATAATTTAGAAAACTATAGAATGAAATACTAAAAGCTGAAAACTTCACTGTTGATAGGTGTTAGTATTTTGTATTTCTGGAAAGCAACACTTTCTGTTGAATAATCAGTGCAGACTTTTCGATATTTTGGATCAATCTAATAGAGAACTATATTTATTCAGCAATAATGAGTCCAATTATTATGTTGGTTTTCCTTAAAGTCTTACTAAATAAGTATATTAGCAAATTTCGTTATCCTGCTATGTACAGATATTCTCTAACTGAGGAAGCCAAATTTACCGTGAAAGCCTTGCAAAATGTAGAATCCTCTGGCAGTGTATTGAATACTAAATGTGGAATACATAAAAAGGATAGAGGACATTTAATACCCTACGCACGTACCGTAAAAGTGCAAGCCTTCTCTTTCTTTTTTGCTCAAGGGTTGAATTATTCGCTTGACCACGAAACAAAGAAAACTAAAGAAAGAGCCAAAAACCACGCGAAGCCCCTCAAAGCCAACAGACTTTAGCACTTCCTTAAATATTGTATTTACAATCTGGCTTTGCCGCAATGAATCCCTAAGACTTCAACTGGTTATCCATCCATTTCAACTCTTTCTCAGGGTCTGGAGTTCTTCTTTAAGTTCGGCTATGCGTTTCTAACCATAACGCTTATTATCATGATATGGATGTCCTTAGCGCGTGCCTCGTTGTTCAGTCGCGAGATGGAGGAGACTCGCTACCCGCCGTGCACATACAATGTGATGTGCACATGCAGCAAATCCTCGACAGATCTGGGCATTGTGCATTGCAAGAATGTGCCATTCCCTGCACTGCCGCGCATGGTTAACCAGTCCAAGGTAGGTGTAGCTCAATCGTTATACTGCAGTTGAGCTAATCTCTGTAATAGGTTTTCATGCTGCACATGGAAAACACGGGTCTGCGCGAGATCGAGCCCTACTTTCTACAGTCGACGGGCATGTATCGACTTAAGATTTCGGGCAATCATTTGACTGAAATACCAGATGATGCCTTTACCGGCTTGGAGCGATCCCTGTGGGAGCTCATATTGCCACAGAACGATCTAGTTGAGATACCCTCAAAGTCGTTGCGTCACCTGCAAAAGCTGAGAGTTCTGGATCTATCTCAAAATCATATAACGACCATTCACCACGATTCGTTTCGTGGGTTGGAGGAATCGCTGCAAACTTTGATTCTGGGCGAGAATTGCATCTCCATGCTCATGTCGCACAGTTTTTCGGGTCTGCTGAATCTGGAGACCTTGG